CTCTTTGCCTTACGCATTTGGAGGCATTATCTGTTGGGGGAGTCCTTCAGACTATTCAGTGACCACAAGAGTTTGCAGTGCCTCTTCAAGTAGAAGGAGCTGAATATGAGACAACGTAAGTGGTTGGAGTTTGTCAAAGATTACCACTTCTCTATATAGTATCACCCAGGGAAAGCGAATGTAGTGATAGATGCACTCAGTCGCCGACCTAATGCCAGTCTTTCTGAATGTTTACTACAGAATGGAATGTTTTGAAGACTGTAGATGAGTTGTCTGATGCTTTTATGTCGTGCATAGTAATTACACCTACTATCATCCACAAAATACTGAAGGCACAACTTATGGATCAGCAATGCATTGATAGAGTTACGAAGTTATCTTCTGGTGATGTTCCATTTTACTCTATCAGGGCAGATGGAGGCTTGAGGTACAAAGGACGCCTAGTAGTACCTTCTGCTAATAATTTAAGAAAAAAATGTGATGACGGAGGTTCACAAATCTGAGTTCTCTATCCATCCAGGTGGAGATAAGATGTATCAAGATATAAAGCGACAGTTTTGGTGGGCAGATATGAAGAGGGACATAGCTATCTTTGTCTCCAAGTGTAGTACCTGTCAGATGGTTAAGATTGATCATCAGAGACCGTCTGGTTCTTTACAGCCACTTCCTATACCGGAGTGGAAATAGGAGAGTATCTCTATGGATTTTGTTGAGGGATTACCCAATTCTAATATGAACCACAATTCTATTTGGTTCATTGTTGATAGGTTGACCAAATCAGCTCATTTCTTGCCTATTCACACTGATTTCACTTCAAAACAGTTGGCGAGGCTTTACATTGCAAAGATTATGAAACTGCATTGCATACCGATGTCTATTATATCAAACAGGGATCCGAGCTTTGTATCGAAATTTTGGTAGAGTTTTCAACAGGCTTTGGGTACCGAATTACATCTTAGCACTACTTATCATCCACAAACTGATGAGCAAACCGAGAGGGTTAATCAGATCATGGAGGATATGTTTCGTGCTTCGTGTTTGTGTCCTTGATTTTAAGGGCAGCTGGGAAGATTATTTGCCACTTGCAGAGTTTGCCTACAACAATAGTTTTCAGAAGACTATTGGTATGGCACCGTTTAAAGCGTTGTACGACCGACCATGTCGATCTCCTGTTTGTTGGTTAGAGGTCGGTGAAAGCAGATTTATGGTCCTAAATTTATCAAGGATACCTCTGAGAAGACTGCTCTTATTCGTGATCGCATGTGCACTGCCCAGAGTAGGCAAAAGAGTTATGCAGATTGTCGTACTCGCAGTTTAGAGTTTCAGGTAGGGGATCAGGTGTTGCTCAAAGTGTCTCCCATAAAGGGAGTAATGCGCTTTGGGAAGAAGGGGAAATTATCACCACGTTTTGTCAGTCCTTTTATGAGTACGGATCGAGTTGGAGTCGTAGCTTATCGGTTAACACTTCCGGATCATCTACATCGGGTCCATAATGTCTTCCACGTATCCATGTTGCGGAAATTTCTGTGAGATAAGGATCATTATCAGCATATAGATGTTGGCGAGATTGAGTTGCAGTCGGATGCAACATATGTCGAGCCACCTTGTTGTATTCTTGACCATCGTGATCAAGTACTTCGCAACAAAACTATTCCACTTGTGTGTGTTCAGTGGAGCCATCATAATGAGGCCTTTTAGGGTAAAGCCCAAGAGCAAAACCATACAGGTTCAGGCCCAAAACGGACAATATCACACCATATGGTGGAGTGGGTTGTTACAAATGGTAAGTGTGCCGATGGGGACATTGGGCCTCCAAAGGGGGTGGATTGTGATGACCTTGTGAGCGGATGTGCCATGGACGGGTGCGAGATACTGACAGCCTACCACACCGGTGAGCTATGGGTGCACAATCCCACATCGCCTGGGAAAAGGAAATGTGAATTGCTTATATGTAGGTGTGTCATTCCAATTGGTATGCGGCCTTTTAAGGTAAAGCCCAAGAGTAAAACCGTGTGGGTTCAGACTTAAAGCGGACAATATAATACCATGTAGTGGAATGGGTCGTTACACATACCTTAAGGTAACTTAGGACCAACACTCTTTATGCTCGAAATCTTTTATACAATTTCACTTTCTTTTTTTTTTTAAAAAAAAAAACTAGGCAAGAAGGGTTAGAAGTAGGGGTGGCAATTGGGTGGGTTTAGACAGGTTTGGAATGGGTTGGGTATGAATGGGTTAGTAATTCATTCTCAACCCATTAATAGTGGGTCATAAATAGGTAAGGGCTCAATTAAGCAGATCAAAATGGGTTAACCCATTCCAACCCGTTTTTTTATATTTTATTATTATTATTTTTAAAAAATTTACTTTTGCAAATTTTTAACTTTCTTACCATCCATAGCTAAAAAAAATAATAATAATTTGTTCTTACATTAATTTTTTGATTTCAAGCATTACAAAGTTTTTTTCCTTTCTTCCTTTGGAAAAGTCACTATATAACTTAATCAACAATATTAATTAATTTTTTGATTTCAAAGAGTTACAAAGTTTTTTTCCTTTCTTCCTTTGGAAAAGTCACTATACAACTTACTCAGTAATATTAATTAAATATATTTTTTAAAAAAGGAATTTTGAGCAAGAGTTTTAATTAATTGTTGCTCATTTATTTTATACAATAAAACAAAATTTGAAGGAGTGGAGAGAGAGAGAGAGAGAGTTATCACATCTCAAAAACAAAAACAAAAAAAAAAAAAAAAGGCGGGAAGAGAGAGAAACGGAGGTGAAAATATATATATATATATATATATACTACCTAAAGAGAAGGAGAGAGACAGAGAACGGAGAAGAAAAAAAAGTGTTTTGTTTGAGTTGGTTAAGATGATTACCCACTCACTTAAATTTGGATACTCAAATGATTTAATTTTAGTGGGACGGGTTTGGGCAGTTTAATGGGTTTGAGCATAAATTGTCACTCATAGTTAGAAGGTTAAATTAGTAGATGCAGAGAGTTGAAGTCTGATATTTCAAAGTCCATCAGAGACACTAACTCATTAGGCTAACCAAGCATCTACTATATAATTTCACTTAAAAATTATTTTTACATTAATTTGTTACAATGAACTATGAAATATATTATTTTTAATTGATTATCAAAGTAATAAATAAAATAATAAAAATTTTCACTTATATTTTATATAAATAACTAATTAAATATATTAAATTAGATAATTTATTACAATTATTCCGCCGTATCACTCATTTCACATTCGGACGTTCAAAAGGTTTCATTCTCTTCGTGAACAAAAATCATACAGGGGTCGTGAATTTTCATCCTGCGGGAACGTCTCTCACCAACCAACCATTTCACTTGACTTTCCCACCGAAATAAGGATAAAAAACAAAGTTACACAAAAAGCAGAGTATGTCCCACAATGTGATTAATTTCCAGCAACTTTCCATTTTTCATATTTGAATACAGTCAGAGACCCTAATCTAGATCTCAGACTTTTCTAGAAGACGTGAACAAAATACCTCAAAAGTCAAAATATTCGTTTTCTAGATTAACTTGTGGAAATGAGTCACATTATAGAATAACAACGACTCGTTTTGATAGGCCGCCTTAACCAATGTCCACTATTACTTGTCAGTCAGCCGATTTTTCTAACTTATTAAAGACTTCCAATTGTTTGAGTAATTTACACAAACTCTAGGTAAAAACCCAAATTGTCCATCGGATTTTTCGAAATTGCAATTAGGTCATGGTTGAAAAGAGATTGATTTTCGTGAAGGGGAGCAAATGAGAGAATAGAAGCGTGTCTAAATCATATATAATGGGATTGGAAAAAAGAGCATTCACCAAACACCAGATAAAAACGTATGTGATGGCACCCAATTAGAAGAATTATTTATATTGGGTCCAAATGCACTACGGCTTCGTTTGGATAAGTATATGATAACAATTAAATTCTTATTATTTTTATTATTATTATTAAATAGAACTTAAGTGTCATAACATGTTTATTCTTTTAATTGTTGAAGATAGTTTTAAAATTATGAAAGTATTACTTATTCATTATCATTTCTCTCCAAATCATTTCATTTTTTAGAAGGATATTGTATGAGGGTTCGGAAGGAATGGACAAGACTTACCTACTCACGGTGAGTTGGTTATTCATACTTATCGCTATAAATAATTTCTAATTACAAGTTTTTATTACAATAAATTCAGTCAATCTCTCTGATTTTTTTATTTATTATTTTTCATATTTTATAATTAGTGACTGTTTGTACATTTGTAATTGGACCACATCATCATTGTTGATAAAAACGACCTACTCACCAATGAGTCATTCCTTTTCTCTTCACTTAATACAATCCAAACACACTTCACATTATCATTTTCTTTCTTTAATTTTTTTTTATCTTTTTTTATCCTTCCAAATCATTTAATCCAAACTAACAGTTCAACGAACGCTCACATGAATCCCATTAAAAACATTTCGAAGGGCCTACCACGACCCTAATACCTTGGCGTATATGGTGAGCAAAGTTGGGTTGGTCTGCTTTGCTCCTTGGTTCCGTTCATTTGGAACATGACATATCTCTCTAGCTTCGTTCAGTTTCTGTTGCTCAACAACTTTGTTTTCTTTGTTGACACTAGACAGTAAATAAATAAAAAATAAATAACCTTTTCAAAGTTCAAACGAAGACCTCAACCAACATCCACTTTTTCTTGTCGGCTAATTATATAACTTATTAAAGACTTCAATTATGCTTACTAATTTGCACAAACTTTACACACACACACACACACGCGAAAGTCGACTCTTATGTTGTATTGAATAAGAAATTTATTCACCTAATCATAAAAATATTAAAAATATCAAAATATTCAACAGTAATATAAATTTTTACTTCTAGAATACGAGGAGTACGTAAGGTAAGGTATGATGTGATGGCGGAGGGCTCGCATACTGTGTATGTATATATTATTATAGGCCAATGAGACCATATCACATCCAAAATTTTCATCAACATGGATACAGTAGTGTACCTGTACATTCCACTAATTTTGGGCATATACATCTTCACCAAGCATTTCCTCCACAAGATCAAAAACCTCCCACCAAGCCCTTTCCCGACCCTACCCATTTTGGGCCATCTCCACCTTTTGAAGAAGCCCCTCCACCGCACCTTGTCCGATTTATCCGCCCGTTACGGCCCAATCTTCCTCCTCCGGTTCGGCTCACGTCCGGTCCTCATAGTCTCCTCTCCGTCAGCCGCCGAGGAATGCCTCGCCAAAAACGACATCGTATTCGCCAATCGCCCTCGGCTCCTGTTCGGAAAAATCATCGGCTACAATTACAGCAACCTCGTGTGGGCCCCCTACGGCGACCACTGGCGCAACCTCCGGCGAATCTCCTCCATCGAAATCCTGTCATCCCATCGTCTCCAGATGCTCGCCGGCGTACGAGCCGACGAGGTCCGGTTGATGACCCGTAAACTCTTCCGGGCTTATGCAGATCAGACGGTGGACATGAAAAAGGTGTTTTTCGAGTTGTTGCTTAATGTCATGATGAGGATGATCGCCGGGAAGAGGTACTACGGCGAAACGGTGGAGGACGTGGAGGAAGCGACGCGGTTCCGGGAGATTGTGGCGGAGACGTTCCACTTGGGTGGCGCAACGAATATGGGAGACTATTTGCCGGTGTTGAGCTGGTTGGGAGTGAACGGATTGGAGAAGAAGTTGATGGTGTTGCACAAGAAGAGAGATGGGTTGATACAGGAGTTGATTGAACAGCATAGGAGAGGAATGAAGAGTGATTGTTCGGAGTCCAAAGAGAGAAAGAAGACAATGATTGAAGTGTTGCTTTCACTGCAACAAACTGAACCAGAGTATTACACGGATGAGATCATAAGAGGCATGATGCTGGTAAGAATCTCTCTCTACTTCACATGTATTTATTTCTTCTTCTTTTATTTTCTTTTTTAATATATATTTGGAGAGAATTAGAAATAAATTATACATGAATTCGTAAAATAGCTTTCAATTATATCATAGCTCACAAAAATAAGGAGAGCTGGGGGAATTTTTTAGTAATTTCAGTGGGAAAAATAGTGAAATTTTATAGGTATTGTAAGATCGGTTCTTGCTTGCCTTCACCTGAATTTGTATTCTAGAATTCGTCTCTTAATCGAGTAGATCTACAATTAACGATTTACAATTAGGGATAATTACACTAACCTCCACTTAAGATTGATTAAATAGCATAGACATTCTCTATACAACAACTATCCTCTCGTGTTAGTGTGGACTTCGACTCAAATGTGTTAAAATTTTATTATATATATTGTACTTTTATTAATTCAATACTCGGACAAAATAGCATTTTTAAGTTTTCTAAAGACGTTCTCAAGTAAGTTTTGAGCATGATATCGACATATAAAAATGTCAGATTTTATGATAGGAGATGTTAGTGTTACTCAGATCTAAATCGGGAGGTCTGTTATATTTAAAAGTAGATGGGAGTTCTCTATTATTTAAGCAACCATTGACAATTATTATCATGGCCAACTTGATAAAAATCAAACTTTATGTACTAAAAATTTAAAAAACTGAATTTTATATACTGATTTTGTAGGTGATAATTAAACAATAATATATATATATATATATATATATATATATATATATATATATATTGATTTTTAAGTGTTTAGCCTACTTATTCGATGATAAGTGAAGTTACTGTCACTTACATTTTTAAGGACAATGTTTAGCTACTTATCAGTGCATAAGGAGTGCACTCTACTCACCAGTGTGAAGTGCACTCCACTCACCGTCAATGTATTCTAATTAATTATAAATGAACACATCAATGTTAATGACATAATCGAAAAAAATAATAAAAAAGGAGAATAAAACTAGATCGACCTGGCTTCGATTGGGTAATTGAGGCCTTGTATTCACCCTCTTTGTTTTCCTTCTCTCTTTCACCCCTTCCGACATTCAGGCCCTCTCTCCACTGTTCTTCTTCCTCTCACCCTCCATAAGCATTATCAATCAATAGGTGAGCACATTAGACCTTGTTTGGATCACTTCTTTTCTTCCTTTCGCGTTCTATTGAACATCATCACTTGATTTCGTGAATAATTTCCCACTCCCTGGAGGGAGCAAATGGGTGAGAGTTGATTTATAAGCGGTATTTGCATTGTTATGAATTTCTTATCTTTCAATCTCATGTCGAGGATTTTGATTCTTTGAAGCCTGGTAGCTGGGCCTAGAAGGCGCCGTTCATTAATTTCTACCAACCTTAACCTATATATCAATGTAGAAAAAAATAGGAGTCGTCAAAGATGTGTAATATAATTATATGTAACATAATATAGCTGAAGTGGAGAATGATGGAGCTAATGTCAACTGGTTTTTTGTCTACGAACGAAAATCTTATGGTGGTCAAGGCATTCCTTACCTTACCGAATAGACTGTCCATCCTCAAGCACATATGGAACATGTTCAAGGACAATGGCCAATCCCTCTGGTTTGACTGGATGCACTCAATTCTTATCAATGACAAGAGTTTGTGGACTATTAAGCCTTCTCAACTCAGTTTATGGAACTAGAGAATAATATGAAAGCTTCGGGGCCTTCTTCGGCCTTTCATCAAACACTTAGTGGGTGATGGGAATGCATCTTCGTATGACATTATTTTTGGCTCCCATTAGGCCCACTTCATAAAAAATAAAAATAAAAATTTGACCCCATCCTTATATCCAACTCTATGTGGGAGGATGATGCAAAGGTTATCTGTCTCGTAAAGCGTAACCAGTTGAGACTACAGTTCTCTTCTATGGTCGCATCTATGGGAACCTCTAAGGTATCCCCTCCTCCTATCACATGCTCCTCCACAGCTCCACCTTAACTCAAGAACTCTCCACCTTGAACCTAGCATCTTATTTCTTCTTGTCATTCTTCGTTGTTCCTCCACATTCATCTATTCTTAGCAAATTCCAAATTCAAATAATTGAACTTGAAAACTACTTTCGCATCACCAAATTGAACTTTTTTTGCTTCTGGAATAAAGGTTAGAGCTTTTGCAATTGCCAAGAGGACTTCTTTTTCTTGTTGCTCTTTATCCTCCACTCTTGTAGATCTTGAAACACGCTTCCATTTTGTCTTTACAATTTCTCCACCTATAATTGTATTTCTCAACAAAATATAGAGATTATTAACCTTCCTTCCCAAAAGCATAACACGTGGTCCCCTTCTAATCTTCATTAATCCATTCTTCGCTTCACACCAACCACCCTTGGAATCCAATGCTCCCACAAAGATCATATTTCTTCAAATATGACGTACATTCGTTAGAGTTCTTACAAACCAATCGTTGTTTTGATTTTGATTGTTCCAATTCCAATAACATCACAAGAAGTATTATTCCCCATAAATACCTTACCACTTACTGGTTTGTAGGTAGCAAACCACTCTTTTTAAGAACACACGTGAAAGGAACAAGTAGAATTAAGTTTCCACTCCTCAGCTTCTCCCTTGTTATCAGTGATTGATAATGTTTCATCATTATCACTCCAATCTTTCGTATCCTCAGACACAACAGCAGCAACGGATGCATTCTTCTTTCTTTCTGGACAATACCACTTAATATGCCATTTTTTTCCCACACTTGCAACATCTTTTCTCTGACAATGGTTGAGATTTCTTGAAGCTCAAAATCTCTTATTTTCTTGAACAATAAGAGCTTGAGCCTGAGCAACACAACCGTCTTCATTTTTCAACTTTTCATTAGAAAATAAAGTACTCTTATCTTGTTCCACCAAGATAGTATCTCTTCCATAAAGCAAAGTATTGAATAAATGCTTATGGGTAGAGCGAACCAATGTTAACAAAATAATTATTTTATCATTATCACTTAACTTGACATCAACATTCGATAAATCACAAAAAATTTTGTTGAACTTAGCATAATATTCTTGTAGGCTTACCCCTTATTTTCTTCTAAAGGAATACAACTTTTGCTTTAAGACTAACCGGTTGGTCGGATTTTTTTTTTTTTTTTTCATATACAGATTTTCCAACTTCTTCCAAATGTCCGATGCTGAATCTTCTTTTATCATATCATACACAATATTATCCGCCAACGTCAATCGAGTCGTACTCATTGCCTTCGAGTTGATCTTCCCCCAATCTGTATCTTCCATCTTTTTTGGTTTCTTACCCAAAGTTTTTCCTAGCATTGCTAAATCAGTAAATCCCGCATCCGAATTTGCCAAAGACTGAAGTTCCTTATTCTATCAAACTTCTTGACCACGTATTTTCCTTCTATAATAGTTGTTGCAATGGCTCTAATACCAATTGTTAGGATTTTACACACACAATTGACAAATAAAACAGATAAAAGCACACACACAAGCAAAGCAAAATTTATGTTGTTCGGCAAATTGTCTACATCCACAGACATAGAACGACTATCTTTACTTTAAATTTTGATTAACAAACTCAACTCACTATTTCTCTCTCTACCCAAACCCATCTCTATTTATAAAGTCTTCAAAACTCAATTCGTTGTTGGACAAGAATTATACCACTTGTCTACAAAGAGTTACCAAATGAATCTCAACTCTAAAAAAGAAACCTAATGTGACAATTTCTCTCACAAATTTCAATATTCTAAAACAGAAAAGGAAACTAATTTCTACAATTTTTAGCCACAAACCCAAAATTCCACCTTGGCTCGAAATTCGTCTTCACATGCTCTCCATAGGTCCACCTTGACTTAAGAACTCTCCACTTTGAACCTAGCATATGATTTATTCTTGTCATTCTTCGTCATTCCACCACATTCATCTATTCTTAGCAAATTCCAAGTTCAAATAATTGAACTTGGAATCTACTTTCGCATCACCAAAACAAACTCTTTTTGCTTTTGGAATAAAGGTTGGTGCTTTTGCAATTGCCAAGACTTCTTCTTTCTCTTGATGCTCTTTATCCTCCAATCTAGTAGATTTTAAAATAGGCTTCCATTCCGTCTTTGTAATTGCTCCACCTATAATAGTATTTCTCAACAAAATATATAGATTATTGACATCCCTTCCAAAAAACATAACAACTGGTCCCCTTCTATTCTTCATCTATCCATTCTTCACTTCACACCAACCACCCTTGGAATCCAATGCTTCCATAGAGATCACATTCCTTCTAACACTTGGAATATGACGTATATTCGTTAGAGTTCTTACAAATCATTCGTTGTTTTGATTTTGATGTTCCAATTCCAATAACATCACAAGAAACATTATTTTCCACAAATACCTTACCACCTACATGTTTGTAGGTAGCAAACCACTCTTTGTGAGGACACACATGAAAGGAACAAGCAGAATCAAGTTTCCACTCCTTAACTTCTCCCTTGTTGTCAATGATTCATCATTATCAATCCATTCTTTAGTATCCTCAGACACAACAGCAGCAGCGGAGGCATTCTCCTTTCTTACCAGACAATATCGCTTAATATGCCATTTTCTTCCATACTTGTAACATCTTTTCTTTGACAATGGCACAAGATTTCTTGAAGCTCCAAATCTCTTCTTTTCTTGAGCAATAAGAGCTTGAACCTGAGCATCACAACTCTTTTCATTATTCAACTTTTCATTAGAGAACAAAGTACTCTTAACTTGTTCACCGAGATGGTATCTTTTACATAAAGCAAAGTATTGAATAAATGCTTATGGGTAGAGCGAACCGATATTAACAAAATAATTATTTTATCTTCATCACTTAACTTGACTTCAACATTAGATAAATCACAAATAATTTTGTTGAACTCATCAAGATGCTCTTGTAGGTTTACCCCTTCTTTTCTTCTAAAGGAGTACAACTCTTGCTTTAAGACTAACCGGTTAGTGAGATTTTTTTTTCATATACAGATTTTCCAACTTCTTACACATCTCCAATGCTGAATCTTCTTTTATCACATCATACACAATATTATCCGCCAACGTCAATTGAATCGTACTCATTGCTTTCGAGTTGATCATCTCCCAATCTGTATCTTCCATATTTTTCGGTTTCTTTCTACTAGTCCTTGCTGAATCAATAAATCCAACATCCGAACTTGCCAAAGACCGAAGTTCCTTCTTCCATCAAACTTCTCCACCACATACTTTCCTTTTGTAATAGGTTGCCGCCATAACTCTAATACCAATTGTTAGGATTTCACACACACAATTGGAAAATAAAATAGATAAAAGCACACACACAAGCAAAACGAGATTTATGTGGTTTGGCAAATTTCCAACGTCCACGGGCGAAGAAAGACTATCTTTACTTCAAAATTTATTTACTCACTTTTTCTCTTCTCACAAACTCAACTAATGAACATATTTATTAACTTGATGCATGTGGATTCAAAAAATTTCTGTCTAAGGTCTCAAATTTCTTAGCGTACCTAACATATATATTTTATAGTCGAGGCTGCTTTGGACGGCTCAATATAATTTGAGACCTTAGACAAAAAAAAAAAAAAAAAAAGGGTGGTATTTTAATATAATGACATAATCTACCAATATATTCATGTTAATAAATATATTCATTAGTTGTTTCATGATTTTTAAACTTAGTACTAGAATTTTTTCAATTTCTATTTTCATCATTAGTTAATTAATTGGCTTGTGCTTTCTAGTAGACGCATTCAACTATATAAATAAAAATGATGGCAATTCACAAGCAAAATATGGAATTGTATAGTAACAAAAATTAATAAAACTATAAAATAATTTAAGTTACAGAACAATAGAAAGTAATTTCGAAGAATTTGAGTGAGATAGTGAAATTGTAACGAGTAATGAGTGAAAGAGTTAAAATGGGAGACGAGGAAAATATGTGAGGAAGAAGAAACAAAGAAAAAGAGAAGATAGAAAGTTTATAGGAGTCTATGGGGACTTGAACTCTCAACATTCTATTTTGGAAGGCGAAGAAATACCATCTGATTACAACGATGTAATGAGGATAAGAGAGGGAGAGGAAAAAAAAAAAAAAGGTTGATATAAGGTTAAAAATATTTTTGGTTCACTATTACATTCCGTTGTTGGTTATGGTTTAATAATGATAGGTTATAATATTTAAATAAACAAAATTTTTGGGGCCCTGAAGAAAAAACAAAAAGGTGAAAAATGATATAAATTCTTTTAGGCCCACTTTCAAATCTTTTTAATAGTTTAGGCTTAATAATTGAAGAAAATAACTTTTTTAGGAAAGTTATAGATAATAAAGAAATGAAAATTTTTGGGGTCTTCTTATTGGTTGGGGCCTTAGAATAAATATTTTTGTCTGACTAGAGTAAATATTTTTGTCTCAATAATTGTGCTCACTTACTCTTCACTTCATAACAATATTTTTCAATAGTGCCATGGGGTTGTATCCTTGCCCCAAAGCAGGGGATTTTGGTTCTCACTTTCTAATTCATTTCTTTTTCTTCTTTCTTTTTTTAATAATCTTTTGTTGCAAAGTCATTTCAATATATAAAAATTAAAGAAGAAATTGTGACAATCAACTAGTTACTACATCGGTTAAAAAAAGACTTAAAGAGTTTGAGCCCATATCTAATGAGATAAAACAAAATTACTAAAAAAATAATGTTTACATCTTTAGTGTAAACATATTATTTTCTTCCTAAACATATTAAATAATGATTATATGTAAATTGATACTTATCAAACACTATAGAAGTAAACCTAATGTATTGATTACAATTATGTATGTAGGTCCTATTAAGTGCAGGAACTGATACATCAGCTGGGACATTGGAGTGGGGACTTTCCCTTTTGTTGAACAACCCAGAAGCTCTAAAGAAGGCACAAATTGAAATTGATAATCAAGTTGGACAAAACCGTCTGATCGATGAATCAGACTTATCTAAGCTTCCCTATCTCCACTGCATCATCAATGAGACACTGCGGATGTATCCAGCAGGCCCAATGCTTGTACCTCACGAGTCATCAGAGGAGTGTACGATAGGCGGTTTCCGAATTCCACATGGCACGATGCTAATGGTTAATTTATGGGCCATACAAAATGATCCCAAAATTTGGGTGGACCCCAGAAAGTTCAAGCCAGAGAGGTTTCAAGACTTGGAAGGTAGCAAGGATGGGTTCAAGTTATTTCCCTTTGGAACCGGAAGGAGAGGGTGTCCTGGGGAGGGCTTAGCCATTCGCATGGTTGGGTTGGCATTAGGGTCATTGGTTCAGTGCTTTGAGTGGGAAAGGGTTAGCCAAGAGATGATTGACATGACCGAAGGGACCGGACTCACTTTGCCCAAGGCTCAACCCTTGTTGGCTAAGTGTCGACCACGTCCGATAATGTTGAATCTTCTTTCTCAGATTTGATCAAATCAACTAGTTTAATCTAGCAATATGCATTACATTAAGAACAACTTTCATAGAACCTTTACCGTTTCTGTGTTGTTCTATTGTCACTAGTATATAACAATATGTAACTTTATATTGTCAATTTTCCAAAAAAATATGTAACATTATATTGTTTACTACTACAAGATTTTGAAAAATGAGTGTTTAAGTTGCTTTAAAATATGACTTCAGTGCTTCCTGTAATATCCCTATATTTTAGAGGAATTATTTATTTAAATAAATTATTTTAAAATAAGTTTATTGGATTTATTTGTTTTAAATTAAATTATTTATTTACTTGTTTTATATAAATTATTGATATAAAGATTGTTGTGTGTGTGTTTGATTATTAATTGAATTATTGGCGTGTTGATTTTATTGGTATGGTTTGACTTTGTTGTAAATTCTTATTTTGTTTATGTGCTTTATGTAATTAGTTATTTTAATTTAAGTGTTTATTTAATTATTTGATTTATTTAAATTAATTGGATTGGGCTTAAGGGAAGTTGGACTAATGAATGTGGTCTTGGGCTTGAATGAAGCCTTGTTGGGTTAATTAATAAAAGCCTTGTTGGGTTAATTAATAAAAGCTCATTGTTATGTGAATATTTAAATGATTATCTTTACATAATTATCTTTATATATATATATATATATATATATATATATATATATATAATTATACGTATATAAATATAATTAATTAATAATTATTATGGAAGGAAATTTACATATATATTTATTGATATATATATGTGTGTGTGTTAGTATATGATTTAATTAGTTAAGGATCAGCATGGAAGAAAATACACACACACACACACACATATATATATATATATAATATAATATGTGTGTGTGTGTATATATTATTTAAGATAATTATTATTTCTTTTATATGGTAGTCATAATAGAAATATGATTAAGATATTAATGAGGTTATATATATACATAAGATTAATTTATTAAAAAGGTTTTCACGTTAAAAAAAAAAAAAAAAAAAAGAGCCAGAGAGGGGAGGAGAAGGCTGACAAAGAGGAGGCTTGATCAGAGAAAGATGACACCGAAATTGAAAGAGACAATCAAGGATTGAGGCTTCGGTTTCGTTTCAAAACCTTCAGGCGAGTTCTTCTCTATTTTTCCTCTTAGAACTCGTAAGTATTTCACCTTGAGTATTAATGTTTTAGGTTAAATTTATTTGATTAAATTATGGTTAGATCGGATTATTTAAAAGTGTGAATTATTATATATATATTTTTTAGATTATTAGATTTTAAATTATATTTATATGTGTTGCATATATTTAAAAATCAACTTGTAGGCTTGATCTGTGACCCAAATAGGTTTCTAGAATTTCTGGGATTTTTCTGAAATTTTTCAAGAAATTTTTAGATTTATTTTCTATTTTTTGAAATTATTTTAGATTTGTTTTCTTTATTTTTTTGTAAAAAAATTATGCACTGTTTATATGCTAAGGCTCTATGCATTGCATTAAAAAGGGGTATTTGATTATGTGTGGCACGGTACACAACGCTTTGGTGTGCCCAAGATCTGGGCCATTGGATTAGTTTAGTGCAAGTGGGTTGATCCGGTGTGACGCGGCTTCATGAGATTCAGTGTCCCAGGTATCTGAGCCCTAGATGCGGCTTAATCAAAGAGGGATTGTTTTGGTGCGTGCATGGAGGCGTGGTGAAGTGATCCGGTGTGACGTACGCATTAGGACAGCATGCATCCAGCGAATGGTAGTGTGCCACATCAACCTGAAGAAGAATTAGGCGTGTGTGCAACACATGTGGGCGCGTAAGGCCATCTGTCAGTGTGTGGCTGCGCGTGGAAGCACGTGAGGGATGTTTGGGCACATGTAAGGTGTGTGGGGGCGTGTGAGGATGTGCTTGGGTCCCGGTAAGGTCCTGTGAGGTCCGGTGAATTTTCAGATCTGATTTCAAGCCTATTAGGGTTAAAACCAACCACTAAAGAAGATATTATTAGGGTTTTGAGAGTCGTAGAGTGTTACTACGATATTTAGTAGCATTTACTTGCGTAAATATAATTACTTAATATTTTGCTATAAAAGGAGGTGTATATATATATATATATATATATATATATATATTTATATATGTGTATATATATGGTTTAATTAATTTATGATTCGTATAGAATGATGTGTGTGTGTGTGTGTATATATATATATGATTTAAATAATTAAGGATTTTTATGGAATGTATTATACATATTTATATATCATATTATATAATATATGTATATATATATATATATATCATTTAAGATTATTAATATTATTATTCTTATTTGGTATATCTTGTTTTATAGGTAGTATGGTTGATTAAATAATAATAACCTGGTTATTAAACAAATGATATTCTTATAATATACATGAGATATCTATGTATGATTTAGCTTGTCGGTACGTTTAAAGTTGGTACATGATTAAATTGTATGCATAGATGAGTTGCCAAAGGTTTAAATATATTTACTAATTATTTGTATGAATAAAATACATAAATAGGAAGAATGGATAAGTTACTAATTTAAAAGTATAAATATATATACTCAAGGAGGCATGGTTGAGTTACTAATATATAAATAAATATATTTATAATGGCATGGTTGATTTGTCAAAGTATAATTAAATTGCTGTGTGTTAGATGATTAAAATTCCGTCTATGATTATTGTATGTATAAGTTTGATTAGGATTAAATATTCTTATATTAGAATTATTTAGTACTTACAGGTTAGTTATTTATTTTATAATATTAATAAAATAATATTAGTGGAGACATGGACGATTTGTCAAAGCATAGATATTGGATATGTGATTTAAATAATAAAAATCATTATCGGGTTTTGGGATTAAATATAATCTTCCTTTATTTATAATTTATTGTTTAAATGGTTAAATAATTGTTTAGAATGGAATTAAGGTTTAAGGAACTTCTTTTTAAAAGAAAATGAGTTTGTGGATTGGTTTAGGTATGATATTGATTTAATCATGGATGTACTTATTGTAGTATATATAATTATTTATATATGTGTAGCGTTATATATTAAAGTTAAAACTTTATTAGATTTGGTTTTGGTTAGAGATGATCTGTTTATTGATTTTCAGAGGCTTAGTAGAGAGAGTTTGCTCTTGGGTTTGACCCACTTTATTTTTATCTTTCAGGTTATAGAGGTTCAAGTTTCAAGGTTGAGAATCCGTAGCTCGGGGGACTTATTGTGATACCCCTCAACTCCGAGACATGGGTTGATCAGGCCCAAGCCCAAACCCAAGGGTATATCAAACAATTAATATTTAAATGAACACAGATTTCAAAACGAAATAAGAAATAAATAATTAAAAGCTGAAAGAATTCTAAAATATAATCCTTTAAAATTAAATACTTAAAATCCAATAATCCAAAAACCATCAGAAATAAATATAAATAATAATCTGTCAATTCAAAACCTTTAAGATAACAACTCGGGAATCCATTCAGTGGACCCCTAATAATATCCCAAACTGAAACGAAAAAACTAAAAGAAAACCAGTACTAAATCATGAAAAGGGATCATACGTCGTCGGAAGAATGAGTGACCGTCTCTGCTTAGCACGAACAAGCTCTAAACCTGGAACTGACGAACACCTGAACAAAATAGAAGTAGGTCAGGCCCACGAACAAGTTTTATCCTGTTACAATCCAAGCAAGAATGAGTGACCGTCTCTGCTCAGCACGAACAAGCTCTAAACCTGGAACTGACGAACACCTGAACAAAATAGAAGTGGGTCAGGCCCACGAACAAGTTTTCAAGCAAAGACCCGATACGCATGTACATCCTAAACAACTCAATAATAGCTATGTAGTCCGTACATATATATATCCACACTACAGGACTCTCACTGGACTATGAAGGGGGTCTCAACCTGATTAGAAGGCAACATGCAAAACACACCTGAGTGGGCATGAGTACCTAAGCCTAACAGGGTATACCTCAACCTATCATATCCAGCTACACATCTTACTGCATATATGCTCCCTAACCGTCGACTCTGAGACTCAAGCTCATATCACAGTACCATAAATATATATATATATATATAAAGTTCTATCCTATCCATCCATCATATATCCAGTTAGCCATTCAACTTGTTCAGCTGCACTGACTTACATATAAGTAGGATTTTATTCTTATAACCCATTCCCTTATTCCAGAATAGGTAGGACTTAACGTCTTGAGCTAATCCATCCCTAGCATGCCACCGTCCTATACCAATGCATACAATCCAACATCCACCAATTGATAATACAGACAGTGAGGGTAAATATCAACTAATCCATAAATCCAACAATTGATTATAAAAATATTAAGTATAAACATCAATTGTTCCATACAAAACATGATAAAATTGTGTAAATTAACAGGCTTATTTGGTACTACTCCGCAGAGTCCAATAATCAATAATACAGATCATACATGTAAACATCAATTCATTCCAAGTAAGCATAATAGAATATATAAATTCACATGCTTATTATATTACACTAGAACATGAATAACTATAAAATCATTCTCGAAAAATTGCCAAAATAATGTTGAACAAATTTAATCCTTCACATCTAAAACAGTATACCAATTTGTGTAAGAATTTTATACTGTTCAAGCTATAATACAGGGTGATTAATTATGCATTAACAAGGCCCTTGGGAGTTTTAATAAAGCTTAGAACATCTCTGAAAACCTCCAGTATAGCTTCTGATTGAATTTGAAAACTTAAAAATCCAAGCATCGTAGTACAACAAGTCGCTAAAAAGCTATAAAAAAAAAAATAAATAAATATAAAAAAAAAAATTCGAGGGAGCCGCCTCCAAGCCTTCTAGAGCCGGCTCCCTCCTTGAGGGAGCCTGCCTTTTGCTTAGGGGAGCCTGCTCCCTTCAAAAGGGAGCCGGTTCTCCTCCTGTTCCTTCATCTCCTTCAAGTCCGGCGACTTTCCGCTCATCTGTCCTCCATTCCTAAGGTTCCTAGGTGTCTGAACTAGGTTCCAGTGTGTTCCAGAGACAATTAAATTATTTATTCATTAATCAACATCAATTAAAACATGAACTATGCAAAAAAATTTAAAAACAAGCAAACACCAATTCATGTAAAGACATACTGTTATAATTGAACCTAACATGCGA